GAGATGCCAGATTAGGAACAATGACCTTGCAGATTTATCCTTGGATTTTATCAAAGATCAGTAGATCTATAGCAGTCGCGGTAAACAAGATATGGCAGCAACATTCTCAGTATAGACGAATGGTAATCTTATTGTCATTAAATATAGATTCTGGAGAGGCACCATGGTCACGCACAGCTCAGTGAACGAAATTTCCTCTCAGGGCATATATATATATATATATATATATATATATATATATATATATATATATATATATGGTAAAAATAAAATTAATAAAATAAATGCTCTCTCTCTCTCTCTCTCTCTCTCTCTCTCTCTCGATATTAATCACCTTTATTGCAATGACTGCTTGCTCTAAAAACGTTAATCGCCATACACCCCCCACACATAAATATATATAAATGTGTGTGTGCGTGTGTGTGTTTTGAACAATAAAAAATATTCAAAAATTTAAATTTTCAGTGACACTGGGTTGTACTTTTCGTTTTATTATTTCCATTATGTTCCCCGACTAGTTTCGGTCAGCATGGCCATAATTAGGAAAAAAAAATTCGGTCAGGCCTTGTGTTGTTCAAACGGCCGCTTTCAAGTTGTTTTTAAGATAAAGGAGGGGAGATTCCTGACTTAATGAATTTCATCCTCTATCATTTTGGCAGCTTTATTTATGGGAATAGCATGTGTGTGTTAAGTGTATGTTATCTGTTAGTTCTTTGGGAGGGTGTGATGATGTATATGTGTATATATTAGTATGAGTATATATATATATATATATATATATATATATATATATATATGATGAAAAAATATACTGAAAAAACAAACAAAAATCCTAATATGCGATTATGCTGTTTTTAATGTTTAATGTCAACGTCGGACGTATATTTTCTTCATACTGTCGGATCTATATACATATATTTGCTCACACACACACACATATATATATATATATATATATATATATATATATATATATATATATATACAAAGATACGCACACACATTAAGTGCCATAACTGTTCAACAATTGTGCATTGCCGAGTGCCTTCCATTAATCTTTTAGCCATAATCAAAGATATATCTATATATTTTTAACTGAATGTGTGTCTTTCAAATACGTGCCTGAAGTCATAGAAATGTTTCATTTTCCAAACACGGTCGGCACATTGTAGCCGTGTTCATAGTTAATGTTATTCAATTTCGGCTTTTCTTTTATTTATTAGTGCTTATTTTACTAGTGGATGAGGTGGTATTTTCTACAAGTATGTTGCGAATAGAATTTGATAGGTTTCCGGATGTGTTTAAATGAGTTCTAATTGAGCTATAATCTGGTATGCGTAACATTTAGACAGCTTTGACACACTTTGTTTCCAGAAAAGAAAACACTTGTACGAACACAAAAATTAAATAAAAAGTTTAATCACAGTACTTCGTCCTTCATTTTTGATGAAACTATCATCCGTTAGTATTTTACCGGACTGAGCTTTGATGACGTTGCCACATCTACACATGAGCGCGAAACGAGAGCTGCTGGTATTTTCAAAATCTTTTGAAAGAATATTTTTTGAGAGAATTTTTTTTTCACTCTAGCCGACATTCTTGTTTATCTCTCCACCACCATTTTTTTTCCTGATTATCTCACACTGAGACAATATACAATCTACAAACAATGGTGATATATTGTAAGAGCCTGGACGCAAATTTATTGTGACTGAACTAACGATCAAGTTACTTTCCAGATATTTTCGTCTCAGTAGCTTATTTTCTCTTCTAATCAAAATAGCATTACCTATATCAAAACTGTTGTCTGTATTGTTACGGTGAACAACCAATGCGTTTTGTGTGTTATTATTTAAAATGTCCCCTTTTTGTTCATATAGTCTCTTGTTTAAACTTCTTGATGTTTCTCCAATGTATTTATTCTGGTAATTCCTGCATTTGGTAGAGTAAATTCCTCCTTCAAGTTTTGGCTGGTTGTTTTGTTTTTCATTGATTAATCTATGGTAAACTTCTGTGGCATAAAACCAATATAAATTCTGTATTTCGTTTGTGTCTAAAAGATCTTTTAATCAATGAGCCCAGTTACTTAACAATCTAATTGAAATCAGTCAACACTTGGAAAGATGCAAACATATTAAATGTCATTCTCAATCAACTGCATAAAATGTCTTATCATTTCTAGCAATTTTACTTTGACTCATTTTCTGTTACTTCGCGGCCATGTTTGTTTCTTAAAAATTCAGCGCAGTTCGTCTCAGGTTTTTAAATAAACAAAAATTTATAAACGGAATCAGTTCTAAAGCGAAAGGAAAACAATGATTATTTTTTGATTTGCATCATGACGATAAGTTGATCAAAATCTGAATATCATCTTTTATAATCCAAAGTACAGCTAAATGATGTCCAATTTAAGCACAGCTCAATAATATCTCATTTAAAGTACAGCCATATTATCTCCAAAAGAAGTACAGCTAAATAATAACTCATTTAAAGTACACCTAAATTATGTCGAATTTAAAATACAGCTACAATGTGTCTTGTTTAAATACAGCTAAAGTATGCCTTATCTAAATACAGTTAAACTTTAAATGGGACCCTTTTCACGCTGGTGTTCGTATCTCACCAACGCTCTTAATTAATTGCAATGAGGGGGATGCTACTGTAGTGTTGGAATCCTCGAGATCAGTTGCTGTAAAATTTAAAAATTCAATTTTAAAAGCATATTTTAATAGATATTTTTCTGTGTTATATATCTTAATTCAAATTATAAATATATATATATATATATATATATATATATATATATATATATATATATATATATATATATATATGAAATATTTCTGTCAATAATGTTTTCCATTCATTGTCTTCGTATATTATATCAGTCGCATCAAAAGGAAGTCGTAAATTGAAAAGCTCTAGAGTTCGTACTAATAAGCTTGCTTGTGTTCGGGTAGCACTGCCAACATCAACAACACAAAATTCATAATCCTAACACTCTATCTACAAAATTTGAAAATAAAGAGGTTATACTAGGGTTTTTATCACCATCTCCAAGACAATCGGAAAAATATTGAGGAAGAAAAATAAATCCAACAACAATTCAGATGCTGGCATTTATCAGATACACCACTTGCAATTGTACCTTAGAAAAAAAAAAAAAAACACCCTGATGATGACATTGTGCTAAAGTCGAAAGTACTGAGAATAAATGAATATGTATGAACATGGTAATATTCTCACTTCTTTTAATAAGGATACTAAGAAGCGTTTTCCGTGAATAAGAAAGAATCCTATTGAAAATACGTAGACAAAACTTGTCTAAATTATTCAAGAAGACATTTCTTAATTATATATATATATATATATATATATATATATATATATATATATATATATATATATATATATATATATATATATATATATGCTGACTATAACTATACTCAAACACAAGTACTGGACTCCTTTTGTGGTGTTTGCTGGTTAACCAATTCATAAAGTAACATTTTACGGGTTATAAATTTTATTTATTTTCGAACAAAGGATTATGAAAGGCGGTCATGTAATTTAAATGGCCAAAATTCTGTTGAGAATGTTGTAGGCATCATAAATTAAAAATGTTATCTGGAATTTTCATAGATTACCAGAATATTCCACATCTGAATGTTGGCGTTTTTATATGAATTTAATAGCAAAGAACGTTTAAAAACTTTCCTTCTTTTTTTAAAACACGTTTGGATTACGCGAAGGCTTCTGGCGGAAAATCAATTAAAAGAATGTTGTTTTGCTACTTCCTGTAAGAAAAAAAATGTCTTCACTTTATCGTGAGAAAACTCTTTAATCTAAGCATATAAATATCTTTTCTGGATGTTAGAAACCAAATTAGACTGTGCTTACAGAGTGTGTCTTAGGCAATGGATTGATGATATATTAAGTATTTTTTACGATTTTCTTCAGTTTCTAAACACGATAGAATGGGAGGGAATCCTCCATTAAGTGCGGGTGATAAAGTTACATTTATAGTCACATTGTGTAATTGTTGCCTTTTTCGTTTGTTTCTGGCCTAAAAACAAAAGCCAAGCAAACATTATGGAAATAATAAGTGTACACAATTAATGTAATGAAAGGTATAATCACTTTAGGTGTTACTGATAATGTAGGCTTTTAAAGACGACAGTTGCCCGAGGCGGTTGGGGATAAGGAAGAATAAAAAGAAGGAAAGAATGAATAATCGGACTCTAAATAGAAAAGGGGGAGGTAAAAAGAGGGGAAGATAATGAGAAATAAGAATAAGACAAAGACTGGGAACATGGAAATGGGAGGGAAATTGATAAACGATAAAACATTGAAAGGAAAGATGTAAGTAGAGAAACAATAGAAGAAAAAGAAGAGGTGAATATAAGAAAGAGAAAACAATATGAAAATATTTTTTTTAAAAAATCGAAAAATGGCGGCGAACTAGAGTTTAAAAGAACGAAAGAAAGAATGAAACGAAAGAATGAAAAAAGTGGTAGAAAAAGTCACCAATCTGTAGGAAAAGGAAGAATTAAGAAGAAAATATACAGTGAAAAGAATGACAACTGAAGTAAAAGGAAAGAAAGAATGCAAGAAAGAATGAAGAACGAAAGAAAGATAAATGAAGGAAATTTAATAAAAATGAACGGAAAACATATATAATAATCTATGGCAAAAAATGAAACAAAAGGTAAAAAGAAGTAAAAAATTACTACAAAAAAGAAAGAGAGAAAGAAAGAATACATGAAAGAAAGAAATTTAATTAAAGAGGCTGGAAGAATATGACACTAATATATGGGGAAATAAAAATAAGATGAAAAATAAAGAAGGACAACAGAAAGAAAGAAGAAAAGAAAAATAAAAGAAAGAAAGGGTGGAAGAACTATATAACAATTATGGGAAAAGGAAGAAAGAAAAAGAAAAAATGAATAAAATGAGTAACAATAAGAAAGAAAGAAAGAAAGAAAGAAAGAAAGAAAGAAAGAGTGGAAGCAAAAGAAAGACGAAAGGAAAAAGAAAGAAAAACGAAAAGAAAAAAAGAACGAAATTTAATAAAAAAAAGGGTGGAAGAACATGACACCGATATATGGGGAAATAAAGAAAACAGTTGAAAAAGAAAGAAAGAAAGAAAGAAAGAAAGAAAGAAAGAAAATAAACATTGACGAGAGGAATAGAAAGAAAGAAAGAAAGAAAGAAAAAAGAAAGAAAGAAAGAAAGAATGAAATTTAATAAAAAGGGGGGAGAACATGATATCGATATATGGTAAAATAAATAAAGGAAAAAGGTGAAGAGTAAAGAATGACAAAAGAAAGGAAGAAAGAAAGAAAGAAAGAAAGAAAGAAAAATAGGAAATGAATGTAATGAGAGAAAAAAACAACAATCTATGAGAAAAGAAAAAAATAAGTAAACAAAGAAAGAAACAAGTAAACAAATGAACAAAGAAAGAAAAAACAGAAAGAAACAAAAATATGAAGAAGAATAATGAGTAAAAAGAAAAGCACATAAGAAAGAAAGAAAGAAAGAAAGAAAGAAAGAAAGAAAGAAAGAAAGAAAGAAAGAAAGAAAAGGGTAAATAAAAAGAAGTCAAAAACCAAATAAAAATGAACGTAAAAGAAAATGAAAAACAAAAAACCGAGAAATGTAAACGCGGTATTATGGACGATAGAAAAAAATACACACATCGTGGAACGGATATTGAAGTGAACACAAGTCATCGAGGCAGGGGCTAATACAAAAATAAGCACGGTACAATAGTGACGAAATGGCGTTAATAACGAAAGCAAAATGCACCATTACCGATAATTGGCCGAACACAAAGGTTATCCCGGTAAATAGGCGTGCAGTGTTGTTGTGAGAAGACGAAGGAAACAGAAAGAGGCTTGATTCATACAGGGAAAGCCTCTCAGTTTATTTATTTTCTAAAAAGAAAAAAAAATAATCAAACAAATAAAAAATATATCAACAACAAAATAGAAAATCGTGAAAGAAAGGAGACACGTCCAAGTATAGTAATATGATTTTTCCACGAATTGTCAAAGCTGTTGGGAGATTTTGCTATTAGCCTAACGTAAAGAAATGGCCGGAAAGCTTAGTTATGAGTTAGATCTATACCAATGTCAACCTTTTAAAACATATTTGGCTGCTTATGCGAACTTTCCATCTAATCATGCAAGTCATTGAAGTTGAATTCGATTCACAGTAAATGAGCAAGGTCCATGACCTGGTTTCAGACTTAATAAATAAATAAAAAACCTTTATATTTATCAATGTTGTTATGGGCTAAGAATACGCTGAATGTATCCCATACAGAGACGTAAACACCTGAAAAATAAGAAATATGTTTACTGTGCGTATGTCTCCATTTTTTATTCTTGTACAAAGTAAACTTATGTATCTATTTTGATTCATTCAAACCAAATCATTGTCAAAATATTTTAACCTTGTGCAAGCGAAATCTAAATCTTTATTATTCTTCAAACCAAATATATATCAACAGTTTTTATTCTTACGCAGCATAAACATTATATATTTTCTTGATTCGTTAGCAAACCAAACCTACGCCTGTCATTTTTTAATCTCATGAAAGCACATGTACGTCTCTCTTTTCGAATGTCATGCGCACCAAACGCCTTTACCATTTTGATCTCGTGCAATCCAAACCTATGTCACTCTTTCTGAATTTTATGCACACCAAAGTCTCTCTATCATTTGTATTTCGTGTAAGACAAAAATCTGTCTCTCCTTTTGAATCCCATGCACACCAAACGCCTCTACCATTTTGATCTCGTGCAAGCCAAACTTTTGCGTCCCATCTTGACTCATGGGCAAACCAAATCCACGCCTACCATTTTGACTCTTGTTCATGCTAAAACTATTTTTACCATTTTGAGTCGCGTGAAAATAAATATTTTACCACACCACGGTAACATCAGAAAAAAAGTAGATATATCGGAAAACGAACCAAAACCAAACAATCCAATGGTGGTTTCCGTAATTTGCCCATAGAACATCAAGAGTGTTGCTGTCACTTGTCTCAAAAAAAATTCCTTACTGTTCTTGCCACCATCTCAGAAATATGTACGTTTGAATTAGAATTCCGCGACCATTATTTTTTCATGTCAGAATGGTATTTTCTCTTTCGATCTATTGGCTCGATGATCCAATTAAGGAAGACATTCTGCTCTTAAAATCTTCATGATTAAACGAAAAATCATCCAGAATATTCTTGGTCATACCTTTTCCTGTTTATCCTTTTACTGATTTTAGATTCTTACTGGGCATAATGGATAAATTTTCGTCTAAATGACGTAAAAATGAAAATAACACTGACATCTCATTTTAACACATATATTTACCAAAATTACAGAAAAATATCTAAAATAAATTTATTCAATAAAATCGCCATTGGCTTCAACAACGACTTCTAGACGGAATCTCCTACAGCTTTTCTGAACGGTCTCCTTGTTTAAGTTGGTGAATGCTGCCATAATTCTTACCTTCAGTTTATCTTTGGTCTTACAAGGAGTTTTGTTAGTATGTCGCTTAACTGCGCCCTACACATAATAATGAAGTCGATTGCTGTCTGGACAGTTAGGTGTCCAGATGTAAGGGGTGATATGGTGGCAAAAATTGTCTGACAGCCATCTTTTGGTTCTCCTGCGTGTGTGGCATGTTGCAGAGTCCAGTTGCCAGACACAGGGTCTTTCAACAGCTGTCCTCTTAACTCAGGGTAGCACTACTTCCTCAAGTCACTTGATGTAGGCTTCCGTGTTGACTCCCTCGACAAATTCGAGAGTTCTTTTTTTTATCAGAAAGACCACACTGAGATTTCAGAGTTGCCGTACCTTCGTAATCATCAATAGACTCATTCGACTTTTTCTGAATCTTCAGTACTGTCCTCATATTGACACCGAAACACTCTGAAATATTCGTATTGGAGATTCGGGTGTGAATGCCAATAATTACAGCATGCAATTTACAAATTTTTGGGGGAGGGAATTGCCACGTGTTGCTCTATTTCTCATTGATGGTGGCCAACTTATCCTGCAAAAAATCAAAAAACAAACAATGCGCATGCGCGAAATTAAAAATATGAAATGGCGATAATTTATTAATCGCACCATGTACATTCTAATAACTTTCATTTTTTTCAATTCCAAGGTTAAGTTTTTCACTTCGTCGAAAGACTAACGGGTTCGTTTGTTTACATTTTTCCATTTCTCACTCGCTTCTCTTTAGTCATGTAAAAAGACATTCACGTTCTAAAGTTATTTTAAATTAAAAAAAAATAATTTAGAACATTAAATTAAAACGTGCAATCTAATCCTTCGAGATTATCCAGCTGTTTGGCAAATAAATCCTCTCAACATCACCCCTTCAGAGTAGGAAAAGTAGATAGTTGCTAAGAAACTTGTGGGAGAAAATGTAAGATCTATCAATGGCCAGCGAACTAGTGGTGGTGTCTTGATAAAAACAACGGGAAGAAGGCATACTAACTTCCTTGAACGACATCACTGTCATTTCAAAGACAATAAGAAAAGAAGAATAAACTTTGATGTTTTCAATCATTAATAATCTTATCTTTTAATCATATTCGTTCAACAACAGTAACCTCCTTGTTTCTTAGTGGCTTCCTTGCTTGGGGAAAATAATTAATATATATTGGGCACCTTGAGGCGGTGTAATGGTTAACAAGCTTGTTTTCTTAGGACAATTACGACTGGGTAGTGAGTTTGATCCTCACTTGGTGTCCTATACTTTCGGCCTTGTGTAACATCTAAACTACATTTGGAAAATCACTATTTGTATATATATATATATATATATATATATATATATATATGGTTGGATTGATGTGAGTTTGTGACCCTGGGTTTCACGATCATCAGACAAACTGATTAATTTTTAAAGTTTTGGGTTTATGAGTATTGGTGTTATTATGAAAGTGGTGGAGGAATTCGTCGTCGTGATGTCATTCATGCTAACGCAAACATAGATGCATGTCCGTACACCCGATGAGTTACGCAGACACACATACACACTCGCTCGTCCGCCGGGGCTCATACAGACATAAACATATGTGGACAGTATGGGACTTGACATATATACATACATATGTGCAGTTGTCTATATACATACGCATTTGTATGTTGAAATTCAAAGATCTCTGATATTGAGCCCTTCTAATAAGTACTGCGCATATAATATATAAATAATTATATATATATATATATATATAATATATATATATATATATATATATACACTTTTCACACACACACACGCACAAACACACACACATATATATATATATACACTTTTCACACACACACACACAAACATATATATATACACTTTTCACACATACACACACACACACATATATATATATATACACTTTTCAAACACACACACACACATATATATACACTTTTTTTACACACACACACGCACATATATATATACTCTTTTCACACATACACATACACACGCACACACACACACACACACATATATATATATATATATACACTTTTCACACCCACACACACACACACACACACACACATATATATATATATATATACACTTTTCACACACACACACACACACACTCATATATATATATATATATATATATACACTTTTCACATACACACACACACACACATATATATATATACACTTTTCAAACGCACACACACACATATATATATATATATATATATATATATATATATATATTAAAGTATGCTATATTTGTGAGTATGGTTATATTAAAGTTGACATTGAGGTCAATAACCAGTAGCAGTTTCTTTTTACCAGGTTTTCAGATGAGACGTTTAGCCATCTTGACACCATTTTTTGTAAGAATCATTGAGAAACACTTCGAGGTATTCAGCTAGAAAAAGAACAGCTTAAAATCGTTTTCTGTCAGTCCCACTATGTTTTTCCAACTGAGCAAAAGTGAGAGGAAAAAGATCATTCATGCCTTCATTAATGGTAGCAACATTCATACTCTGGCTTTGTTGTAGTAACCTACCTACAGTAGAATGGACTCTTCCTCCTTCATAAATACTAACCTGCTAGGCTTCGTTTGCGTGTGCAGACAAGTAGCAGTGTAAAAAGAACGTTCGGACGAACACTTCTTTCTGCTTATTACTAACGATCTTGCTTTATATATATTTGTTATTTCAATCCACTTGTTCAACCTACCTTCGTCTTCCGTGTCTTTCTTTGTGGCCCCTA